GGAAGCTTTCATTGTGACAGCACTATGGAATAATAATCTATAACATTCATTGTGACAGCACTATGGAATAATAATCTATAACATTCATTGTGACAGCACTATGGAATAATAATCTATAACATTCATTGTGACAGCACTATGGAATAATAATCTATAACATTCATTGTGACAGCACTATGGAATAATAATCTTGAATGTCCATCCTACCAGAAGAGCTAGGTTCCCAAATCCAATCCTGATGCGTCAATTTCCGACCTCTGCAACTAACAAAATACACACATATACAAAAAAATAACATCAGGGAAATTATGATAAACATTATCCATCCATTGTTGAGAAATTGCAACCTTTTAGGTTATATCCTGGGGTGTTTCTGTGATAAAATTTCACAAATTTAACTAAACAATCAATTTAACATTTTAACTGTTAAAAAAAACTTAAATCTTCGAACTATCGGGTCTTCGGAGTAATGGGCTTTCAAACTAACGCACCATCAACGTAGCACTAACGGACCGTTTATTTTGCTAGTTTCTTAATAACACTAACTTCACTTACTATCAGACAGTTATAAAAGCATCATAAATCTGTTTACTTTGTTACTGATTAAATCTGTTATAATGGTACTGATTTTTCACTTAACACGTGACAGAAATAATGCTATCATGATTATACTGACTTTGTTACTGATCAAAGCTATCTTAATGGTACTGACTTTTCACTTAACATGACAGCATTAACTCTATCATAATTATACTGACTTTGGTACTGTCCAACGTAATTTATTAGATTTATTTGTTAATTTTGAATTTTATTAAATTTACTGAATTGTGGCAAAAATAAGAGTTTTATTAAACTTACTATAATTGAAATCAAATTAATGTATAGTATTTTTTTATTTATGTAAATCTCGAATATTTGCATCTTATATTTCTTCTTTTATTCTTAAGCATTTTGTATTCTACAAATAGCCCATCAACTATCACAAACGTCTGACCTAAACGTTCACCAACTGTGTAATAATCAAGTTTTCAACCTACAGCATAAACTAAAAGAAGAAGAATTAGTGTCAGAAAATTAGCGTTAGCGTTTCTTTAATAATTTTTGTTGGTTTCCAATGTTCTCCTTTGTAAAATGTGTTCAGAAGTTATATTTCTAGAGTTAAAACGTAACACTGTCCCGTAATATATGTAGTCCACGGGAAAACGCCACTCTTGTACATGCTTAAATCGACAAGTGAACAGAAAAGAGTGAAAATGTTGCTTTATGTAAAATTCAAATGCCTGACGAAGCTGTTTAATTTCTTCAAATCAAGTGCATAATTTTCAGACACTCTAACCCATCCATACTGTTCCATCAATTCCAAACAGTTTGCTGAAACTCAAAATAAGATCAAAATAATCAACCTGACAATGAAATCAACCTTGTTTATATGTTACTGAAATTATACTCATACAGGCTACGTTATATGTATGCACATTCGCAGAGTCTCGATGTCGTAAGCTTTCTATATATTTCTAAAATTAAACTATAATAAGGAACGAGAAATATTTCTCAGCACTCAGTGTGAAACAAATGCTAATACACAATAATATTGTTTTCCTTTGCAGAATCAAAGTATATTGTGAACACGACTGAAAGAGCAAACACCCGCAGTACTGGCAAGAAAATAAATACATTAATACACATATGCGTGTATTTGGGCAATTAGACTTAGCTAGCAGGTTGATTTTTCCCATCAATAAGCTAGAAATGTGTTTGCAGTTTGCATACTTTTCTGATTGTTTGAAGGCAAGAGAAGACTCATTGCTTTACGAATAGTCTCTAAACCTGAGTTTATCAGCAGTATTAAACTTCCAAGTTGCCACTTTATCAAAACGAAAGAAGTAAAATTAGAACTTTGGGGTTTTAGTTTGATTGTGTTATATTCTTAGTGTAAGGGCCCTATTCGTTGGCAAAAGAGTAGCCCAAGAGTTGGCGGTGGGTGGTGATGACTAGCTGCCTTCCCTCTAGTCTTACACTGCTAAATTAGGGACGGCTAGCGCAGATAGCCCTCGTGTAGCTTTGCGCGAAATTCAAAACAAACAAATTAGTGTAAGGGCTATATATCGTATGCTTAGTCAATATATTACAAGGGTCTGAATAGTCATTATAAGATTAATTTATATCAGATGGCAAAAAAAAGGTGGTCTTGAATCGCATATGTTTTCATATAATAATGAAGTCCATTTTCTTATTATTCATTATTCTTTAGATAAACAAAATAAACTTTTTCTTGTAAGGGCGACTGTTTTGGTTGACTTCTTCTGTGACCTGCTCTATCTGAGGTATTCTTAGCAGTAAGAAATATGTATTAACTATAACTTATTTTTTCGTTTTCTATCAAACTATGAACTGAAAGGTGTTTTTTTAAACATATATCCGGTTTTTGTTAGCATATACATCACAAACGTTTGCTGTACTGTATGTTATATGAATCCCACATATAGAATAATGCTCGAAAATCGCATTTTGTGAATTTTATGATACATTTTATTTATTGATGCTTGAAAGCTCATTTGCTGAACTTTGTTTTTACTTTAGTTACTGAACACTGACAACAGTACTGATGTTCATCGTTGGCATTAATATTCGCATTTCTGAGTTATTAAAGGCTAGCCTTAGCTTTTGTTTCCATAGTAGCGACATTCAATCGCAATAATATACACACGTACAAATATATATTTACCAACAAGTGCCATGTGTTATCATTGAGACTGGCGTAGTGATAAATAACCAAACTATAAAAGTATTAAAGAAGAGGAAAATGGAACGTATCTTATTAGCTGAAATAACCGAACAAATAACTAAATCTGTCTGAAACACGTCCTTTGAAACAACTCATTTCTTAAACATATTATTATGTATTATTTTTACTTATTCTTTTGCTTATACGAATAGGATTTAGATTTTGCATACGTCTCGTGACTAACAATAATATTGTACAAAGAAGGACATAAAAATAGCCATATTAGGCTTAAGGGAACTAGAGGCTTATGATCGAATTCAAGATCAAAAATGATAAAAATCTGTCTTAATAAATCACAGTTGAAACGTCATCAACATTCATCTCTGTTGACTGATATGCTTTGTCTTTGTTAGTGTATCTCGTTTCTGTTAATATACCTTTTTTCCTCTCAGCATACTTTGACTTTCTTAACATGCATATATTGTCTTTTCAAACATACCCTGTTTCTTATAGCATATCTTATTCTTGTTAGTATACATAATCTCTGTTAACGATAAGGCTGAGGGCTTATCACACTAAAAAATCAAATTTCGATACTCGTGGTAGGCAAAGCATAGATTGTCCACTATGTCACTTTGAGTTTAATAACAAATAAGCAAAATATTTTAAGTAACGCCATCTGATGACTAGCAGCTGTAATTCTGTATCGTTTATAAAAGCGTTAAAAATGTTACATTTGAAACAAAAATCTCCAGTTAGAAGAACAAAATTATTTAACCTTATTGTAATTCCCCTGGTAGCCACAATTACGTGTTTTTTTTTACGTTGGTGTTCTTTTGTTAGTAACATGCAGCGTATTGTTAATCGACAAAGTCTATATTATTCACTTTGTTTTCTTTTGTGGTTGTGAAAGCTGTAACTTTACTGGATTAATATCACTGACCTAGTAAGCCCACCATCCTCGTTCAATGTGCTATATATTATATAGAACTGATATATTTATTCAATTTAAAGAACATACATGAACCACATTCGATGACGAGGAACCCACTTTGAGACTAATAATGACTGGAGACGGCTTAAATGGGTAATGAAGAAAAAGTTTAATATAAGTTTAACATGACAGCAAATGTACAACGTTTCGACAACGTTTTGATGATGACAAAACCTTGTCGAAACGTTGTACATT